CCGAAGTCGGACGCTTAACCGACTGAGCCACTCAGGCACCCCACTGTTTACTTACTTCTTAAGCACATCTTTAAATCTCAGACTTTAGGGTAACTATAAAACAGGGGCAATATCACCTTTAATAATAATATTTACCTGAATAAGCTTCCACTAGTAGGATGAATAATAATTATGAATAAATGACAGTCATTTTAATGAAGTAGGCGGAGTTTTTAAAAACTGGAATTATTTGGGGCGCCTGGGTGGCTCAGTCAGTTGGGCATCTGACTTCAGCTCAGGTCACGATCTCGCGGTCCGTGAGTTCGAGCCCCGTGTCGGGCTCTGGGCTGATGGCTCAGAGCCTGGAGCCTGCTTCCGATTCTGTGTCTCCCTCTCTCTCTGACCCTCCCCCGTTCATGCTCTGTCTCTGTCTCAAAAATAAATAAGCTTAAAAAAAAATTAAAAAAAAAAATAAAAACTGGAATTACTTGAAAATGATTTTTTTTTTTTATCAAATTGCTTAAGGGTAATTCAATCATATACCTCACACTAAATTCTACAATATAGATAACCACATATCCTATCTTTCATTTTACGTAAAAGTTTATCTGACATTTATGTATCTAAAGAGTCAAACTTATATAAAGGTGATTTATTTTGTGACGGTATCTTAGGAACTGTAAAGAGAATCTGAACTCTTAAGCAACTTACATGAAATATCCTCTTGAAGCCTATTTTTCCATAGTAGAGAATATAGACACAAGCTATCAAATACCTAGGGAAGATGGATGCTGTGATGTTGGGAGAAGAAGTAAAGAGAGAGAAAAGAAATCTCAGACTTTAATTTTTTCATTCAACTTTATCCACAGTTTGCATCGGTAATATACATTTAGTGTTCCATTTATTTTTAAATGCATCAGAAAATCAATTATGATAGATCTGTGACCAATACAAAGATTTCTGAATTCTTCAAAAAATTCACTTAGAAAAGTCGATAAACTAGCATTCTGTAAAGATAATTATTAAACAAATGGTAATGCATTTTTACTCCTTATTTCAATTCTAACATATCCAACATCACTTCTTTCTTGTGCCATACAGTAATAAAATTTAGCAGGAGTAGCTATCTACTACATTTTTTAGGGCCTAATAAAATATTTGCTTGACTTATTTAACCCCTTCAAATCACAAATCCAATTCAAATAATTATAATCATTCTTAATTCAATAAGTGATGAAGTAAATATAAAATAACCATAAAAACCATTTAGAATAAAATTTACACTTATTTTAAAAACTACTAAAAGAAATACATCAGAGCCTTGATAAAATGTGTCCTTGGGGACTATGCTGAGAAACTGACTTAGAGGTGGTGTTGCCTTTTGGCACTAGAGTAAATAGACTGACATGATGTGAACCTCAGATGGACCCATCTTAAATGGAATTTTGCTTTGCGGCGAAGAATGCTGTAAGTGAGGTTCTGGTGTATTTTCCCTTTAAAGCAATAACTGACAAGTAAGTGAAATGCAATAAGGAAATGGCCTATAATTTCAATGAGAAACAGGAAAATACCTGTAAAATAATTAACATCTAGACTGACTGAGAAGAGGAATCCTACCGCATGGGAACTACGAAAGCAGTATGAATGATTGCTGTAGCTCTTAATGGTCACTTGATTTGTAACGTTGTCAGATCTGTACAATAAAAACTAACAACTTGAGATATTTATTTGCCATTTCTTACCTTTATTACCCGAGTTTTCACTAGGGAGATTGATTATGCCAATGAAGTTTTTTTTTAGATCCAACTGAAAAATAGTAACTAATTAGCTGAAATATTTAAAGTAATAAATTACTAATAATTTAATTTTAAACCTTACAGTTATAAGAAGCTTTAGTTCTTTAAAAGCTCCAATTTCACACTTGGGGAATGTAAAGAACACATGTGTATTCTAATGCCAAAATGTAATTATATGGCTTCATTGCCAACTGATCAATAAAAGTAGAGTTGTTTCTAAACCAACCCTTATTATACCATTTGGCACACTAGTTTCACCTTTTATATATACCCTTTGAAATACCCAGGCCAACACTTTTAATAAGTTGCATCCATATTAAGAGGTAACAAGTGCAAATAATCACATATTTAAGATATGGTACTTGCTTGGCTACTACAAAAGTAATTATACTAAGGTTCTTCTATAGCAAACTGAGTTATTACAGTAATGTTTTTGAAAAATTCCTGCACTCCTACCAATGTAAATTTATCCAGCTCCAAACTAAACAAGGACTTTAGGTAACATAGCATACTTAGGAAAATATTTATAGAATGGTCTGTGTTTAATTCAACATCATGTTCATTGAGGATCCTAAGATTTACAGGATCCACAAATGGCCAGATTCCAAATACACACCTATTCTTCAATGGCTGCTCTATGAATCTGAAAAAAAAAACAACCCAGCTAATGGCAGCATGCCGACTGAAAGTCCAGACACAGATCCAAACTTTGGCAGTTTTATCAAAGTGTCCTTGATAATGAGTACTTACTTGGCTACTTCTCAAAAACCTTACTGCTTTGTGTAACATTTTCAATACAGAAATAAAATACTCTTCAAATAATACATATTAAAAGATGATTAAGTTTTGCAAAATTAAATAGCATAAATTAAGCATATTAACATTGTTTTTTTTTTTGACAACATGACATAACCAATTTAAGGAAAACTGCAATGGACTAAATAAAAAACCACAAATGTCACCGTGTGAGGCACATTTAAATCCTCACATATAACGGACCTTACAAAATCTACTAAAATATTTTAAAGTTCCATTGATTCCATTAATACATAAAAAGAAATTGCAAAAATGCTTAAGACTATGTAAGAGTCATCAATTACACAGGCACTTCACATGTAAACAGTCTACAGTACAACTGAAAATATTTTGGCACTAACCTATAATACTAAAAGAATTTAATATAAAGCCAGAGTTCTGCATTTTCTACTCATTTTTTTCTAGAAAACTAAGACCAAAGATTGAAGAAACTGTGTATAAACTAGAATTAGAAGTGTATTAAATAACTCAAATATAGAATAGTTTTAAATCGGTAAAAAAATGATTACCTCATCCAGGTGTTTACTAGTATGCTCTGATATAAAAAAGTAAACCTAATGTGATTATTAAATTGAAACCACATCTTAAATTTAGTATCAATCTGGTTTTTGAAAAATAATGAAGGTTATCAACTGACTCAGTAAAAAGAGAATTTGAATTTATCAAAAACTCTTATTAAGTTAATCCAGTTTTTCCCCCAAAAGAAGTTTGGGCAATTCGAAATTTAACTTTGATGTTTTAACATGATTTTTTTTAAGCTATGGATTGACCTAATAAAATTATTAATTTTGATTAGACATTCTTATCACGAACTTGAGATTTTTTAAATCACTTCAAATAAATGAAACTATACACTTAAAATTTTGAAATGTTACATCAAGCTGTAGAAAGCTGAGATGCCTTGGTTGTAGGTAATTCAAGAAGAGCCTGCACTGTGACACCAACTTTCACAAGACCTCTCTCTTCCAGAATATGATGAGGCAAACAGAGTCTTTCCTGAAAAACAAAATAAATGATATCAGAACATCTGTTTTTTAATAGTGCAGTAACGCCTGAACAAGTCAGAACTGGATTTTTAAAACATGTGTCCTGTAAAACTTCAAGTAGGAAGTACACAATTTTAATTAAATTCTAAACTTTTTATTCTCTTCTGGAGGTGTAATTGCCATGTAACATTATATTAGTTTCAAGTGTAAAACATAATGATTTGAACAGCATTCTCTTCTCTGTATCTATAATGTGCATTTTATTTTGTTTGTCCACTTGGGTTTTTTTTAGAGTCTACATGTAAGTGGAAACATACAGGATTTGTCGTTCTCTGTCTGACTTAATTTTGTTTAGCATAATTCCCTCAAAGACCATCCAAGTCACAAATGGCAAGATTTCGTTCTTTTTTTATGGCTGAGTAGTATTCCGCTGTATGTATACCACATCTGTGTCCATTCATCCACCAACAGTCTCTTCGGTTGCTTTCATATCCTGGCTATCGTAAATAATGCCACAATGAACACAGGGGTGTGAATATCCCCTTGAATTGGTATGTTTGTTTTCTTTGGATAAACACTCAGAAGTAGAATTGCTGGATCATATGGTATTTCTATTTTTAATTTTTGAGGATCCTGCATACTGTTTGCCACAGTGGCTGCACCAATTTACCTTCCCATCAACCTGACGCAAGGGTTCTCTTTTTTCCACGTCCTCATCAACATTTTGTCTTTTGGACAACAGCCATTCTAACAGCGGTCAGGTGGCATCTCATTGTACAAATTCTAATTCTAAAATGGCTCTTTCGATAGACTTTTAGGGTATGGGATTCTATTTCACGGTCTCTGTTTTGATCTGAGGTTGATCTGATCCACATAAATAAGCGAGTGTTTTAAAGTGAGACAGCCATGCTAGAAGTTCCCTAAGCTCTTGTGCTGGAGTAGAAAGAGCACTCCAGGGGCGCCTGGGTGGCGCAGTCGGTTAAGCGTCCGACTTCAGCCAGGTCACGATCTCGCGGTCCGGGAGTTCGAGCCCCGCGTCTGGCTCTGGGCTGATGGCTCAGAGCCTGGAGCCTGTTTCCGATTCTGTGTCTCCCTCTCTCTCTGCCCCTCCCCCATTCATGCTCTGTCTCTCTCTGTCCCAAAAATAAATAAAAAAAAACGTTGAAAAAAAAAAAAATTAAAAAAAAAGAAAGAGCACTCCATTTCCAGTCAGGAAATCTAAGGGCCATGCAACACGAAGTACTAAAGGTACTAAAAACTACCCAGAGACTCAGTTTCTTCAACCTGAAGAAAGGACCGTGTAAGAAACAAACTGAAGAGTGTAAACTCTTCAGTCCTGTACAAAATTGGCCTCTCTCGTTCATTCTACCAGTTCTGAGGTTCCACGGTCTCTAATATATGAAATGATTCAGTACTTTTTTTTTGTCTTACTGTTACTTCTTTCCAGCTGCTAGTGATCTTTGTTGCTTCTTAGTTCCGTGGTCTAGAATTTGAGAAGTAGCAACTGCCTCCGCTTGTAAGCACATCACATCTCATTTGACCTTAAGGCAGCTTTGCATTAGGTTTCATTAGCCTTGGCTGATCCTCTTCTAACTTCTTTCCTTTTTGTAAGTAATCTCTACTCCCGACGCGGGGCTCAAACTCACCACCCCAAGATCAAGAGTCACATGCTCTACCAACTTAGCCAGCCAGGTTGTCCCTCTTCTAGCATTCTTGATGTTTTCAAGAGTTCTGTCTTCACTCTCTTCTCTTTTGTACTATATCTTCTCTTTGGTATTCTCAAAGCCTTATCAAAATTGCAAGGGTTAACTAAATAAATTTGGTAGCTATTTCTGAAGAAGCAGTCCACTGCTTCAGCTGGGACACACATTCATCTCAGGAAAGTAAGCTAGTAATGGATAGTGTGGGCGGCAAACAGACCATCGACAGGACCCATCTGGTCCGTAACTATACACTTGGTGAGCACGGTATCTTACAAGTCTAGAAACATTACATTTTTTTCTAAATCCACTGTTTCTTCAAACATGGGGGGCCTTGGCAAGACTAGGCCCCTATTCCCAAACAGTAATAACTATATCCTCCACCCTGATGACTTTCAAATCTTCATTTCCTGCCATGACCTCTCTATTGAGCTCCAGATACAAATATGAACATGATACAGCCAAATGGATGTCTAACAGGCAGATCAAAATCAATCTGTCCACAACCGAATTACATCATCACTAAGTTAAACTGTCCTTTTATATTCTGTACCTACGTCAGTAATACACTATTCAATTTCTCTCAATATAAACCTCGGAATCCTAATAGTCTTCTCTTTCTTCCTTATTCCCATAAACCATTCACCAAACACTACTGGTAATAATCCCATTTATCAGAAGCATTCTCAAAAACTATCTTCTTATCTCCATTTTCACAATAGCATTTGCTGCCTTCCCAATGTTTTGTTTATTCAAATAATCACTGAAATGTTAGAAAAGAAAAAAAGGTTTCAAATCAATGACCTCAGCTTCCACGTTAGAACTAGAAAAAGAACAAACAAATTAAGCCGATGGCAAGAAGAAAGAAAGAACATATGAAGTTGAGAGAGGAAAGCAATAAAATAAAAACCAGAAAATAATAGACAAAAAAAAAAAAAATCAGTGAAACCAAATGTTAGTTCACTGAGAAAATTTTTAAAAATTCATAAGCTTCTAGCTAGGTTAATCAGAAAAAAGAAAATACACAAATTACCTACATCAGGAATAAGAGTAGTAACATCAGAAGAGATATTACAAATACTAAACTGATAATAAGGGGACATTATAAACAACTTTATAATAATAAGTTTGACAAACTACATGAAATAGATAAATTCCTTGACACACAGTATACCAAAAGCTCATGCAAGAAGAAACAGAAAACCAGAATAGCCTTGTATCTATTAAAGAAATTAGAATTGTAGTTAAAATCCTTTCCACAAAGAAAACTTTTGGCCCAGCTGGGTTCATTAAAGAATCTGACCAAATGTTTTAAAAGGAAGTAAGATCAATTCTACACAAAATTTTCACAAAAAGTGAGGAGCAGGGAGTACTTCCTAACCTATTTCTTAAGGTCAATATTACCATGACACTAAAGCCAGGCAAAAGATATTAAAAGAAAAGAAAACTAAAGACCAATATCCCCATGAACATAGATGTAAAAAGTCTAAGCAAAATTTTAGCAAACTGAGTTCAACAATATCAAAACAACAACAAAATCTATGATGACCAAGAGGGCTTATCCCAGAAATCTAGGTTTGAGTTAATATCTGAAAATCAACCACCATTAAGTCACAATACTGTGAAAGAAAAAGGATGTTATCATCTCAGTAGTTGTAGAAAAAGCATTTGACAGAATTCAACATCCGTTCCTGATAAGAACTCTCAACAATCTAGGAATAGAAAGGAACTTGCTCAACCTGATACAGTTCATCTATAAAGAAAAACAACAGCTAACATTTGCAAAGCATGTATCTCATAGAGTACTTTTATCTGGAATATAGAAAAAAACACCCACAACTCATTAATAAAAAGGTGAATAATCCAATTGATAAAGGGGCACAGGATTTGAAAAGACACTTCTCCAAAGAATGTATACAAATAGTCAATAAGCACATGAAAACGTGTCCCACATAATTAGCCACTAGGGAAATGCTAATTAAAACCACAATGGCTGTGGGTGCCTCACATCCAGTGAGCTATGCTAGCTTACTGTCAACTTCCCCTAGAGGGTGAGGGCCCCCAATCCAGCTGCACAGCTGTGGATGCTGGGGATTGTGTTGGATGTCCAGAAACAGTCAGGGGTGGCAAATGGGTCAGATCCACATTTCAGCTCTGGAGGAACTCTGGCTGCGGGGTGGGGCAATGGGATCCTCCAGCCTTTGCATCCCAGGCTGCCCCATCGAGCCCAGAGCCCAATCCCTCCCGAGGCAATGGCAGGACTGGGTCCCTAGCTGACCAGGCGCAGGGATGCTGCAGGGGAGGCGACACCGGCATCAGCCACAAGAAACCGAAAGCAGCAGCTGTGAACCTCTCCCAAGCACAGTAAATGATGTGACGTTCCCCGGCTCCTCTGAGAATCTCTGCCTGCTCCCTCCTCTTTCGCACCCTCAACTGTGTCCTTGGGGCCTACGTATAGAATGAAGAAAGCTGAAACAAGTGTTCCAAAAAAAATTTGTTCATGAGTGTTCATAGCAGCATTATTCACAATAAACAATGAGTGGAAACAGCCCAAACGTCCATCAACTTATGAACTGTAAACAAAATGTGGTATAAATGTTAGTCAGTTAGTTAGGAGGTATCAGCCAGGAGGGATAAACTGGTGCTGGCCACACCCTCGGAGGCACCCCCAAAGGTTAACAGCCACACCTTCGGAGCCACCTCTAAGGGCTAACAGAGCAGGAAAGGCTTAGCCACAGAGTTGGCTCAAAAGGCACAAAGGGACTTCTAAGAACTGAGCAAGCACACAAAAGGTTGCCTTGTGCTATCTATCCCCTGTCACCTTAGGTTACCTTAAAGTCACAGCAAAGCCCATTAAAACTCTTGAATATGCAGCACATAAATAAATACAATTATAACAGAATGCATCATAAGTAGGCACAATGCACAGAAGCCAAAATGTTACACAATCAGCAGCCGACAATCAAAAATGCCAATCAAAGCCAAATTTATATGTAAACAAAGCAGGCTTATAAGGCTGTAGCTAGAGCTTCTCAGGTCCATTGCCATTCTTACTCCGGCAGGGGCCTGCTTTCACTCTTCAAAGTATACTATACTTATCTACTTGATAAACTCTATCTCCCTATTCTGGTCTCAGGTCTCTAATTCATTGCTGCATCCAGGCCAAGAACCTAGTGACCCAGTAACCTCGACATACAATAAAATATTCAGCCATAAAAATAAATAAAGTACCACTTTACACAACAACACGGATAAACCTTGGAAACATTATACAAAATGAAAAAAGCAGACACAAAAGATCCCATATTGT